CACGAAAGTGGCGACAGTTGCGCAGATCGCAGCCCCCAGGGCACCGCGAGGTCCCGAGGTGATCCGCGTGGGACCCACCTCCGCTGGGCCTCCCAGGAGCCCACGAAAGTGGCGACAGTTGCGCAGATCGCAGCCCCCAGGGCACCGCGAGGTCCCGAGTGATCCGCGTGGGACCCACCTCCGCTGGGCCTCCCAGGAGCCCACGAAAGTGGCGACAGTTGCGCAGATCGCAGCCCCCAGGGCACCGCGAGGTCCCGAGGTGATCCGCGTGGACCCACCTCTGCTGGGCCTCCCAGGAGCCCACGAAAATGCCGACAGTTGCGCAGATCGCAGCCCCCAGGGCACCGCGAGGTCCCGAGGTGATCCGCGTGGGACCCACCTCCGCTGGGCCTCCCAGGAGCCCACGAAAGTGGCGACAGTTGCGCAGATCGCAGCCCCCAGGGCACCGCGAGGTCCCGAGGTGATCCGCGTGGGACCCACCTCTGCTGGGCCTCCCAGGAGCCCACGAAAATGCCGACAGTTGCGCAGATCGCAGCCCCCAGGGCACCGCGAGGTCCCGAGGTGATCCGCGTGGGACCCACCTCCGCTGGGCCTCCCAGGAGCCCACGAAAGTGGCGACAGTTGGGGGAGGAGAAGAAGGAGGCCGGGGCGACCACACTGCTCTATTCAAAACGAGTACCCAACCATAGGAGGGTTGGGAAGAAGATGTTCCAAAGACATCATCCAACACCCCCTCACACAAAACGAGGCTTCCGAGACCCCCGAACAACCCGAGGACATCCCCGAACTCAGTAAGAGTTCTCCGATCCCCATCCCCAAGGCAGCCTTCAAACCTGCCCTTGCGTGGTCCAGTCAGGGCGTGCGCCAGGCATGGTAGGATCGGAACCTTCCCTTCCGTCTCCCCCATCCCGGGAAGGAAGGTCGTCACTACGACTTCCGCCCTGAGGGGCGGCAGAAGTGCTGGCAGGAATTGTGGCGTTTTTCTGCTGAGGGGGTGACGAGGGCGGGGGGTGCTCTCGCAGGGCACCCTGCACGCGTGCATCCCACAAGTCAGCAAGCGCTGCGCTCCCCAGTTGTTGGTGGTGAGTCCCCGGCTGCTCTTCACCGCGGGCGACCCGCTCCCCCCAGGGGGCGGTCTTGAATCCACCGCTTACGCTGGGACTTCAGCTCGGGAGAACGGAGGCCATGAAGCGCCAAAAGGCCCAGGCGGTTGGCATGGTTATAGCCTGTCGTCAGTTGTACCATGCCTTGGGAGAGTGAGACCCGTGCTCGGGCCCAAGTAGAGCACGGCCCAGAGCATATGGGGCGCTCCAGAGAGGGCCTCGCCTTCGAAAGATCGAGCACTTGACAGATCTTCCTCGGTGGAAGGCGGCGGATGTACAAGGGGGGCGGCTCTTCCGGCGGAAGGCCGGAGGAAACCGGCGTAAGGATAAGATGCGTCCCCAAGGGATGTCCATGCGTTGGGACTCGAGGTTTTGCGAACCAGCCATGCAGGAAGAGCCGATGTTTTTCGCGTGGTCAGCATCCATCTGTGGAGGATGTATTGATTTTGGTTGTATGTCTTGTCTGAACGTTTTCGTGTTGCGCTTAGCTATGTTCCAGCTTGCGCTCTAGGCTTCTGGGCGGCGTTGTAGTTGCTCATTCGGCACGCTGCACATTGCGTTCTCAGCAGGCCGGTTGGACCCTCTGGAGTCCTCGTTGACCCGACACGTTCACACGACAATGACTTCCCAAGGATGTTTCGGTCTTCCATGGGATATCTACACTCGCGTATCACCTGGGGCACCCTGGGTCTGGAACGCCAAACCACCTTCCTGGGCTTCCCAGTGCTGACGCGCTCGGCCTGGTGACGATTCCACAGTGCCACCTGACAGTGCCACCTGGGCTCTTGTTGGGGAGGCCAGGGCCAGCCAGCCAAAGCCGAAAGCGGTAGATTCTCGCAGAATACGGTCCGTCTTGTTTGGCTAGGGGACCTCCTGGACTTACCAAGGCCAGTGGGGATCTCTCGGGGCCCTTGTGGGGACTCTCGTGGGCCACCTAGGGGCCACCTTGAATCTTCAGAGGCCCATCGGAAGCGAAAAGGCGAGAATGACAATCTGGTTGAAGCACGCCTGGTTGTGGACTTCCTCGGGAGACTCCGTGGTCATCCCTGACGGTGTCGGCGCTGCTCTGGAGCTCCAGGGGGGGCACTTGTGCCAAGCTGGGTCGCGCTGCGCTGTCGTGGGGGCCATCTGGGCTACCTGGGCCACCCCGGGGCCATCTGCGTGGGGCAGTCCTGGCCGCGCTGGCCCCCCGCCGTCTAGGGGGGGGGGGGGCAGGCCCCCGCTGGAGGGGCTTCGGAGGACGGACAAGCAAGGAGAAGCTCAGAGAAGGAAAGTGATCGTTTTCTGATTCATTGTTTTGCCGATCGGCGCGGGCCCTCGCATCCTCCCTCCCTTCCCCCCCGTGGAGTAGATCTTGGCTGTTTTTGGCGCCCGTTTCAGGCAGGTGGAACCTCCCCCATGGGGCGCACTGTTGCAAACAGCCGCACCAGAGCAGAGGTCCAGAGCCAGACCCCCCCCCCTCCAGCCCCTTCCGCCCAATGTCGAAACGCCGAATAAGGGAACGTTCACAAGGAGGAGGGGGAGGAGGAGGAGGGGGAGGAGGAGAAGGAGGAGGAGGAGGAGGAGGAGGAGAGATGCCTTCCAGCCCCTTCCGCCCAATGTCGAAACGCCGAACAAGAAAACGCTCACGACCGTACCGATACTGCCACCCTTGCCTCGGTTTCCCCTTTCAGGGGCACCCTAGGAGGCCCTTGCTTCCACCGCCAGGTTCGCCTCGAAACTCTGGTCGAAGCGCACCCCTGGAGAGGCCCGGGGCGTGGCGGTATCGGCATTTTCTCTGGATCCCCAGAAGAGAGGAGCTGTTCAGGAAGAGCCCCAGGAGCTGGGTGTATTCTTCAAAGTCAGGAGTTGCTCGCCCCTGTTCGCACGACTTGCCCACGCGCCCTGCGCATCGACGAGTCATGGCTTCCACCTTGTCGTATGGCTACCTGCATCCCGATCATCCTGCTTTACTGGGCTGCCACGGTGACTCCCGTCCTTCCCATCGTCATTATTGTGTTCATGGTGGCACGTCAGGACAGGAATTTGTTTGTCAAGCTCGTCGAGTTCCTGCAGCTGAACGAGCAGGAGGCCGCGCCCGTTCCCCTACACGAGAAAAGGGTGCAGGCAATGTACTGTCTGCGCGTTCCCTGTCCACCTCGTTGCCATCCCCCACGTGTTCATCCCTGTCGTTTTTCCAAACACCCCACGAAGCACAAACGGTTGCTCGAAACAAATTTCGGCACACTGGCACTGAGACTTGCATCATTACGTCGACCATCACGATCTCCACTTCCAATACCTTTTGTTGCTTGTTGCTACAACCAATAGTAGGCAATGCGAGACCTAACGTACGTGTCGATACGCAGTATGACGGCACTACTATTGATGATGCTAGTATTGTGCGTACCGCCATCATGCTACCAACATTAGAACTACCACCACCACTACAACTAAAACAACGATTGCTGATCACATGACTTCCAGCACTTTAATTCAGACTGCGACAGTTCATATTGCTACATCTTGCGTTTGTACCATTACGAGAGCTAGCGAGCGGTAGTAGCACACGGAAAATTGCATTCGGTTTCTGATCATGTTTCGTTTCATTACATGTTGATTGGAATGAGGGGAATAACAGGCAAAGCGATTGGCGTGCACTTTCGTATTTTCTGTTTCTTGTCCTGGCCAGTATTTCGCTGTTCTTCAACGTCGCGCTTGCATGAACTCACCTTGCCCCGGATGCGTTTGCATGTGCATGTCCATCTCATTTGGACGTGATTCGGATCTGATTGCGCGTTTCATTCCTGCCCCCGTCCGCTACATGATCGTGCCCGCCGCTGCTTCTGTGGCCCGAGCAAGACGCCGAGCTCAGACCCCAGGCGTTGCGCAAGCGGCGCCGCCGCAGCTCCAGGCGCCCTCTGCGCCGGCGCGAGCCATCAGGCCGCGAGGGCGCGCGCGCACGCCCCCGGCACGGGGCCGGTCGGCTCGCGGCGAGGTGAGAGTGCCCGGAGGCGCGCCGCAGCGGCCGTTGCAGCAGCGGCGTGCTCGCCAGAGGGATCCACGGGGGCTCTGCAGCAGTGGCTTGCTCGCCGCTGCCCCCAGGGCGCACGGAGGCTTCTGCCAGGACATTGAGCACGTGTTTTTGGAGGTGGTAACAAACGACAGGCGCCCCCCCCATAGTTGTCACATGTTTGGGGCCAGTGTGTTCCCTCCTGTCTTGACAGAGGGTTGTTGCTATTTGTGCGAAGCCTCCGGCTTCTCCTCCTATCGAATAAGATGCACATGTGGCGGTCTCGGCGTCGAACGAAACATAACAACAACGACAGACAAACGATACAAAATAGGTGACCCATGTTATGGCGACGTGTCCCAGGCTCTGCAGAAACAGCCAGCCAAACGCTGGCCTGTTCTTCGGTGAAGTCGGACTGGCAGTTGAAAATTGCGCCGCGGTCCGTCCTAGAGCATGTCTTCCAGCCAACTGAGGAGACAGCCAAGCTCACGCTCCGCCTGCACGCCCGACAAACAGCCTCAAGGTTGGCGGCCCAAGAGGCGCCGGCAATGGGGCTTCCGTCGCGAAGCACAGCGAAACAACAGTTCGCAATGCAAGGAGAACAAGAGGGACCAGACGCGTCCCTGTGTCACCCGGCAGCACCAGCGCAGACGACAAACATTTTGACGTTTCGGCACGTTTAAATCCGCACGGGATGCCAGGCGCGAGACACGCCCACATGCCTCCCACGTTGCTTCGCACACCCTAGCAGCCAAGGCGAGGAAGGCTGTTCGCCGGAAGCGCCTGTCGGCGGCGAGCAGGGCCGCAGCCAAAAATATCGGCCCTGGCGAAGTGGTGACAACACACAAGCTTCAGAGGAATGTGGATATCACCCTTGCTGAGTGGACCGCCCTTTGGTGGTCAAGGACGCTCAACCAGCCAACGACCCAGGTGCATTCTGACGACGAGGCGGTCACCGCGCGCGCTTCGCCCATGGGGTTCCTAGAAGCCAACAGGGTCGCCGTGGAGGAGTCGGGGAGGGCCGCGGCCGAGCTCGACGGTCCCCGGTCGAGCGGCATGTCCGAGCGGCCCGTATTTGGAAAGACCATACGTGCGCCCCCAACGGCGCGCCAGTGGCCGCGGACGGAACACGCCTGTCCCGCGCGCGCGGTGGCAAGGCACACAGTGGAGGCGCGTCGGCAGCAGCAGCAGCAGCAGCAACAGCAGCAGCAACCTTCGGGGGCGTCATCAGGCGGCAGAGGCGCCGGCAAGGCGGCGCAATAGCAGCCAGGGGCAACGCGCCCACTGGCCCGCCGCCCCTGGCCAGGAAAGGCGCCAAAGGGGCGGGCAAGCGCTGGCGAGAGTGAGCTGAGTTGGACCGGCATCTCGCGGATGAGAGCGACAAGCAATATTCGGATGAGTCGCGGCTTGGCAGCGGTCGACTGGTCGAGCGTCAGCTAACCAAGCACTTGTGCGTTTAGCGAGGGGGTTAAGTACTGTGACCCACATTCTGGATGCCCGCGGCAATCTGGGGCACCGTCGGACGCAAGAGTCCCCGCGGCACTGGGGGAGCCAAAAAGATTTGCAGAATGGTCAACTGCAGCAGTGGAGGGGGCCCCCCCAAAGCCAGAAGCACGCGATCAGCAAACTGGACCCTTCCCATGATCAAGAAAACGCAAGTTGCGTCCGAACATGCTGACGCGTCTCACCGCGACGTTTCGTTGCACGATTTGTTTGCCGCAACGTTGCACTTCGGTGGCGTCCGCTGCCAAGGTCGCCCTGGGTTTGACGGTGGCCCGCCTCTGGCTGATTTCAGGCAGCGTTGTGCCGAAATCGATGCCCGGACTGTCAGCCGTGCCAAGCACAGCGCCGGGTCAGCTCACATATCATGAAAAGTCTTGTTGCTGGAGTATGGGCACAGACTATGAAGGGCGAAAATGGAAAGGCTGAGCTGGGCCGCCAGTGCCTGTGGACCGCGTAGAGCTGAACGACGCGTTGCTGGTTGACTGCTTTGGCATATCGGAGGAGCGCTGAGAAGCGGCTTCACCGAAGGTGACGTGCATCAGACGTTCCAGGACCAATTCCGAGAACGAACACATTCACATCCCGCGGAACAAAAAAACGCGTTGATTGGGAAGGCCTTGCTGCGGGCGCCGCCGACCTTGAAGGGGGGCGACGACGACGGCGACGGCGACGGCGACGGCGATGACGACGACGCTGACGCTCTGGAGCTGAAAGCTTCTCCCTGGTAGGGAAGCTCCCCCAACGGGGGCGGTGTCACAACCCCCGGGACATCCCCCCCCACCGCCCCCCAACCCCCGACCCCCCGGGACCCCCTTTTCTCGCGGGGATCCATTCGACTCGATTACGACGTTGTTCGGTTTTCTTTTGGCTGAAACGCTTGAAACGGGAGCGGTGGCGACGACGAACACGACGACTCAAACGGAAAACACTGTCACACACGCCGACAGGGTCGGCGGGTTTTCATCAGATGATTGCAGCGTTTCAATTTCTCCCGCAAACTCGTGGCGACGCCGCATCGGACATGGCGCAAATCCGCTTTGAAGACGCCTTCTCCCATCTCTCAGCAGCGACGCCGCCTCGACCTGCATAAACTCGCGTCCACGGCGGAGGCGCCGCCTCCTCTCCCGCGTCCGGCTGCAACACAAGGGCCCGGCAGAGCCACCCGTATTGAGCACAGAGCAGCCGGACGCATGCAGTCAGTCATGGTCAGTCGCTGTTGCCGGGTCATGTTCGTATGCTTTGGCGATGATCTTAGGGCGCGCCGCGACATCGCAACCCCAGTTGGCGCCCCGCTCACGGAGCGGGTCCGCGTCGGTTGCCAGTTCGGCGAGGCAGCCGCTGATCTTTTGGGCGGGCGGCTGGACCTGGCCAAGTACAAATTCGGGCCAGTCGTTGGTGTGCACGTCTCCACCAGCGCCAGCGCGTCGACGCGGCCGCGAAACAGCGCGAAGCGCAGCAGAGGTGGACGAAAGACATCCGTTCAATTTTACACGCTGGTCGTTGAAAGTAGGTATTTTCGGATTCCCGGATCCCAATATACTTCAAGCGCTTTCCGCGTCGGCGCGGCGGCGCATTCGGTTTCGTGTCGCTGCGTTTTTCTACGCGGCCGCTTGCCCAGGCGAGCTAGGACAGTGAAGCCAATATGGTTGCGTATAAGTGAGTAGCTGCCTTGGTGACCGTTGCCACGGTCTGCCCACATGATCAGCCGCATTGCCGCAGTTTTTACCATATTTACAAAAAGGCTGCACTAGTTTTCGTGGAATGTGGGCTTTCATAAGAATCGGCATGTGCGCAGTGGCTGGTCGGGTGTAGTTCGAGCTGGTCGGCGCGACTGTTCAACATAGGGCAGGGTATTTTCATTCCGAGGGGGTTCTGGCGGATGGCTTGTCGAGGGATCATCAAATTTGCGCAAGTGTGGCGCAAACCAGGTGCTCACATTCACTTGGCCAGCCTTCAGGGGCGGTTCGGGTCGCTGGATGCACCGACAGATACCATCCATGGCGGCACGTTGAGCTAAGTGGCAGCTTGGAGGAGAAAATACATGCACTGTCACGTCGTCTCCTGTGCCTCAAACGGGCACGCGTTACCCATAGCACAGCATGCTGTCGCAAGCAGCTTCTGGAGTAATGTTGGGCTTCTGCCCTGGGTCACTAGACTCCCGTAGCATGCCTGTGAAGCAACCAGCTGATTCTTAACCGTATCGAGCCCCAGTCATCCCCGGAGGGCTTGTTTCTCTCCAGAATGCGCCGCCTTCTGCCCGTAGGCAGCCAGGGCAATCTGTCTTCGCAGCAGTGCGACTTGCAGACGCCAGCAACTGCCACATCATCCCATGGAGCCGTTGCTTGCTGCGGCGAATGCTGGGTCATTCTGGCACGAGTGCGGCCAGAGACGGCCGTTGCCTTTGCGGCCTCAGCTGGGTCCGGCGGCGCGGGCCGCGTGCCAGGGGCGTCGCGCCCTGGCCACATGCCTGCATAACGGTGGGAGCGTTGGTTGAGGAATATGCCCAGGAGGCTTCAGACCCTGGGGCATTCCTTGTCTGATGAGGGCGGCGGTTTTATCCATGACCAAGCCTCAATTGGAGTTCCACTGGCTTCCAGACCCTGGATTCCTTGTCCAATGGTTCCTCATCCAATGTCCTCACCGTAGCGATGTGGCGGTCGCAGTATGAGCTGCTGGCTTGTGCGTGCCCAGGCCTGGCCTTGCCTCCCTGCGCTCGCCGTTCTCGTCTGCGGCCCGAGCCGCCTGCCGGGTTTGGCAGCACGGGCGTTTCGCCCTCGCGTGCCCGCGTTTCCCCGTGCTCCCCGGCACAAGCCCGGGCCGGTTGTGGACAAAGTGGGCACGGGGAAAAATGAGGGAAACAAGCGCACAAAGCGCGGAAACAGCAAATGGATCTATAGTTTGGTCTCTTCGTGTGTCTGCTTCGTGAGGACATGCAATATCGAGTCACACGGCGCTTCAAGCAGGTGATCAGCGGCACGTGGGTGGTTGTGGGCGGCGCGATCTGCGTTGCCTATTACCACTCGAGCGGGCCCACATTGCGGCAATTCGAGCTGCGTTGCTACCGCCGCAAGGCGGCAAGGAGTCTGGTTGCCGCGCGAGCGGATCCTCGCGGCAGCACGAACTGGGGGGCGTTTCGTCACGAGGGGAAAGGAGGGCTTACAGCACGAGCGGATTCTCTCATTGATGTACCTTGCATTACATTCGTTGTTAACGCGCGTCCACTGTGATATTTCACGGTTGTAACTACCCTTCTCGTCTTCGTCCCCTTGAGTTTCCTCTGTCTCGTCGTCGTCGTCGTCTTCCCCCCCTCGTCCTCCTCTTCCCCCTCCTCCTCCTCCTCCTCCTCCTCCTCCTCCTCCTCCTCCTCCTCCTCCCCCTCCCCTCCTCCTCATCCCTCCTCCCCTCCTCCTTCTTCCTCCCCTCCTCTCTCCTCTCCTCCCCTCCTCCTCCTCCTCCTCCTCCTCTCCTCCTCCTCCTCCTCCTCCTCCTCCTCCTCCTCCTCCTCCCTCCGTCCTCGCTCGTCGTCCTCCTCCTCTCTCCTCCTCCTCCTCCTCCTCTCCTCCTCCTCTCCTCCTCCTCCTCCTCCTCCCCCTCCTCCTCCTCCTCGCCTCCTCTCCCCCTCCGTCCTCCTCTCCTCCTCCTCCTCCTCCTCCTCCTCTCCTCCTCCTCTCCTCCTCCTCCTCCTCTCCTCTCCTCTCCTCCTCTCCTCCTCCTCCTCCTCCTCCACCTCCCCTCCATCTCCCCCTAGTCGTCTCCATCCTCTCCTGCTTCTCCTCCTCCCTCCTCCTCCTCCTCCTCCTCCTCCCCTCCTCCTCCCCTCCTCCCTCCTCTCCTCATCCCTCCTCCTCCTCCTCCCTCCTCCTCCTCCCTCCTCTCCCCCTCCTCCTCCTCCCTCCTCCTCTCCTCCTCCTCCTCCTCCTCCTCCTCCCCCTCCCCCTCCCCCTCCCCCTCTCCTCTTCCTCTCCTCCCCTTTCCTCCTCCCTCCTCCCTCCTCCTCCCTCTCCTCCTCCTCCTCCTACTTCCCCTCCTCCTCCTCATCCTCCTCGTATTCATGGCGCCCAAGAGTTTACACAATGTTTGCTGCGTTGGCACACGAGGGCGAATATGAATATTTGAACGGTGTTTCCCTCTCCGCTCGGGCATGACTGGCCGTGAGTTTCCTGATGGGTATGTGTTTCCTGATGGTGCTAATCATGTACTTCCAGATGGTCGTGAGCCCCCTGCTGGCTATGTTAGTAATGAGATTCTTGAGCTTCCTGAGGATCGTCTTCCTCCTGACGATCGTGGGCTTGCAGTTGGCTGTGGGCGTCCTGATGGCCGTGCGCCTTGCGAGTATGTTTGTGCGTTTCCTGATGGTCGCGAGCTTCCTGAAGGGCATGCGGCATGCGCTTTCTCCTGGTGCTGATCGTGAGATTCGAGAGGGTCTTGAGCTTCCGGCTCTTTGTGAGCCTACTGGTGGTCGTGAGTATCATGATGGGCATCGATGGTTGTGCGCTTCTTGGTAATGATGAGTTTCCTGAGGGGCTTCCTGCTTCAGAGTGTTCTTATCATTTTCCTGGTGTTCCTCGTTTTCCCAGGCTTACCGAG